TGCGAATTTTATTCCGTCGAGCAAACACACACTGTAGCACACCGGAGTTAAGGACAAGAGAAAGAAGTCCGCTCTTGCAATTGTTCCTATCAAACGCCTATTCCAGGAGTTTTATAAAAGCGTGCCTCAGAAGAAACAAAACACGTACAAAAGAAGGAACTTAGATAACGCTACCCTACATACGCCGCACGTCAGAAGCCACCGAACAAATATTCCGACCGTTGCCTATGAAGGTCGCCCATAAACCGGCAGTAACCGTGCGATCATCCCTTTTCAACGGGAAGGATCGAGTCGAACAGCTTGAACGATCAGGTGTAATTCCGTGCCTGGGCTGCAACCAGCACTACATAGGTGAGACATGCAAACAACTACACACTCACCTACACGAACACATGCTTGCTCCCCGACGCGCTGACCCGAGGTCACAAATCTGGAACCACTGAGAACGGACAGATCACGAGATCGCAATCAATAACGCAAAGGTTGTGGTGCCAGCTAAGAAGAAGGGGGAAAGATTAATTCTCGAAGCTCTGCACTCGGTCAATTCGTTCAACCGACACGTCGAGATAGACAAACATTACGTCACACTCGCAAAACCAGTGACGATTGGTGGACAGATGGACGTACAAACAGCACACAGGCGCACGGAAAGACGGTAATCCCATTATTTCATTCATTTCATTTATGTTTGACAACGAGCCCTAGTTTGGATCGAAACGTTACAATAAACATTTTACAACTCAGTGTACTCCTCCCTTCTCTCTTGAAATATATATATATATATATCGTGGTGGGTCACTGGATATGTATGGGCTTTGTAGGTTGCAGTCTCAAGGAACTGTCAGGTTCACGGTGCCCTGAGACCTTCAGAGCCAATTTTATCAAGGATATCCTTAGCCCATTTTCAGGGTATTCCATTTAATGTGACTGTGCATGCAGTCTGGGCCCCACCCTAAATTCTAATCCGAATGTGAAAGACAACTGTAATATGCTCCAAAATTCAGTCGGTCCGTTTCCTAAAATCGGAAGCAGAGAGCTATTTCAGTAATAATTGCTGTACACATAGCACCCATAGAGCCTAACGAATCCTTATAAAGTTGCATTGTAAAACTGTGAGCGGCTTTCCTAATGAGTCTAACTGTTGAATACCGCAGAGCCATCTTCTCCGGGAATCACCTGATTCTTATTTGTTCTACTGCTTCCATTTCACCGTAGAGTGCCCCATATGTCTTGTTGGTATCGTCGGATCGGTTTTTATGTGCCTCAAGTCAAGTTCCTTTTCAAATCAGGAAATTGGTGAATTGGCACCATTTTCATGAGTACAGATGAGATTATTTTTTGCAAAGATTCAAGCGATTTATCGCACGGATGCTTCCCAACTGCATTTGCCTCAATGATGTCATGCCTTTCACACTGATTCAATCAGATCCACTTTACTGTCTTCGTTTATAGATCCTAAATGGTGTGCGACGTTTGGAATTCGATCGTCAGATGTTAGATGTTAAAATGCGCGTGGAATACTTGTCATTTTCTGCCCATGCGGATGCACGAGGCATAATGCAACTAATATCACACTGCCAGCCTCGACACGTGATGCTGGTACACGGTGAGGCGGGAAAAATGGACTTCTTAAAATCGAAAATTGAACAGGAATTCGGATTACCCTGCTCAAAACCAGCCAATGGCGAGATTATCCGTGTTGAGACTGAGCAGCAGTTTATAGTTTGTGCTTCAACGGAATTATTGCATGGTAGTGATGGTAAGCTGCCAGTACACCTTTTATCGACAATTTTCTACTCATAACATACTTGCTTCTACAGTTTGTGAAGTCTAAATTCATCGGTCTACTTTTCACCATGCTGCGCGTAGTTTTATGCCTCTATCTACACATTCCTCCAAACAAATTGATTCTCATGTTCTTCAGCGTAGCATCTGTTTGCGAGCCACTTAGGCTTGTACAATTTACTGTCAGGTTATTCAGTGCGTTTGGCTTTGATGTCATTACATTCATTGTTACGGTGTTTCACGCATTCGAGAGTGAAATATTCTATGAAAGAGTAATCTCAACGGTTTGAACTCGAATGCGTATCTAAACGTAACAATTAAAAGATGCGTGGAGTTCGGATTTTGAATGCGTTGGTATCAGAGTTGTTGAAAAATGGTATCTATTCTATCTTTCATCTAATTTATTTCTTTTGAGACAGATGGGTACTTTATGTGGTAAGCATGGGCGGTCGTGGCCCGGAGGATGTGTTGGAATTCCACCACCACCACCGAATGACTTTCCCCATTCTGTGTTGTTTAGCAGCCCTTTGGTTGGCCACTTCCCCGTTTCTGAAAATTGTATCATTATGTATCTAAAGATAGGAAGTAAAGTTGAAAAAAGGAATGCTTAGCAGATTCGAATTACCAAGATTAAGTGAAAAGCTTTTTTTCTAAATAATGACTACTACAAACAGATCATTAAATGTACTTAAGTAGATAATGATATTTAAAGCGACAAATGTTACATGGTGTCTACTAAATAACTTTAGCTCTTAATGTTAACGCCAAATCACGAATTAATTAAAAAGATATGTGGTGTGTTATTTTCCGAACGCAATGTGCTGTCTCACTGGGTTCAGCAGTTCATTACTCATCGTCCCAAGACTTAGGTTACGGGTTATCGTAAGTGAACTATGGGTCATTAAGACAATGAAATTTATTCACTTCTGCTGTTCATCACACCAACGTTTGCAACTGTGTTTGGTAAGCAACATCGGGAAATAGGAAGCGAAACAAAAACAGTCGAATAAAACATGTTGGCCCCGTTTTGGGTCAAGTAATTGTCACAACTTTTCCGAATTTCGTTGCCTCTTTCGTTTGATACAGCGCTGTGCAGGTAATTTCTGACCTAAGATGGTTTTCAAACCTTATTCCGCCGCGGTACAATGATTGGTTATCGTCAAATTTTGCCCTTCTCAATCAGCATGCACAACAATTCTACCCAGTCTTTCTCGCGTGTAAATGTGTGCATACACGTGTTCGCGCTTGAAGTCTTGACTGGAATGGTTGACATCCTCTATCCTGTGCATGCGTGCGTGCACGTGTACAACCAGACTGAGATCAAACTCGATCCTCATGTTTGTCGCCATTTTATCGATCTGTTAACAAAGTAGGCATGTAGTTCATTTATTATTGATGTGCGGACCAGTCAACCTAATTCTTGATTTCGGTCCGGTTGACTGGTTGATCTCTACCGTGTGTGTGTGTGTGTGTGCGCTCGTTTGTGTGAGGGTTGGAGGAATGAGTGCACACACACACTCGGTTAGCCAGCGAACGTTCCGGTCTATGTCTGTGTAGGAGTGTGGGTGTGGCTCATTTCACTGTTCTCTTGGTGCAGTCTGCTACGGTTTACCGTGGGAAGTACATTCGTTGCTCGTCCCCTCGTATCTCGTATGTTGATAATACGTCTGTGGTGTGCAGTGTCAGTCGATAGTTCAACACAATTTTGGGCTATTATGAGTGTTCAGAGCATCTCTGAAGCTGGCATCAGCTGTGATTACTTCGTTTTTTTCTGTTGTTGTTTATACGGCTTCATAGCACTGCCAATTTTCGGCTTTTTGGTGAACATTAAATTATCTAAGCACATACTTTATTTTGTTCGTCTTCTATAGAAAAATGGTCGAACTAGGCGACCAGCCAGAAGAGGGACCACTCCAGCGCAACAGTCACACCAACACCGTGAACATTCAGTGCTGATTCCGTACTACACTTTGTTCGTTAGACTGTTTAGGTTACCTCGCATCGATCGAGATGTCGAATGCTCAAATCTTACGAGAATTGCCTGACTAATCTACCTCTTGATATTCACAAATCGTTTTTAATAGCC